ATATATATATATATATAATGGTTTCAAAATGTTTGCAAAAAGTTTTAATTCCCGGGATCCATGTGAGTAGAGAGTGCAGTACTGTTCCTTGTAGCCGAGGGAGAGGTCCTCTCTTGTCGGGCAGTGTTTGATCATCACGGGCTGAGAGGTTAAGTGTAAGACCATTGAGGGTAATACCCAATGGGCTAATCTTGCATCTGCCCACAATCCTTAGGTTTTCATAAGGTGGCTGGACCCAAGGACTACTTAAAGGAAAATGGGATTGTATCACAACTGGCTCCTCCTGCTACACCACAATTAAACGGTGTGTCAGAGAGGAGAAATCGGACTCTATTAGATATGGTTCGATCACTTCTCGTCCACTCAGAATTACCCACATCCTTTTGGGGTTTCGCGCTAGAGAATGCGATTTACGTGCTGAACCGGGTTCCAACCAAATCCGTTCCTAAGACTCCATATGAGCTATGGACTGATAAGAAACCAAGTGTGAGACACTTGAAGATTTGGGATTGTCCAGCACATGTTAAAAGAACTAGTGCTGACAAATTGGAATCCAAGACCAGTCGCTGCCTATTTGTAGGTTACCCCAAAGGCTCTATAGGTTACTTGTTCTATGATCCAAAAGAGCAAAAGGTGTTTTCCAGTCGAAATGCCCACTTCCTAGAGGAAGATTACATCCTAATTAATCATCATCAGGAAGTTGTTCTTGATGAGGAGAGCCCAGGGGTAGTGGGAGATGTCCCACTAGCTCCAGAAAATAACCAATCTAAAAGATCTACCCGGGTTTCCAGGCCTCCAGTTCGTTACGGCTATGACCAAGAAAGTTACTTGGTGGAAGCCACAACCAGTGAGGAGGATCCCGTGACTTATTTGGAAGCTATGTTGGACATAAATTCCTTGACGTGGGTAGATGCCATGAGAGTTGAGATGGACTCAATGGAGACCAATGGAGTCTGGACTCTAGTAGATCCGCCTCCTAGGGTAAAGGCAATTGGTTGCAAATGGATCTATAAGAGGAAGAAGGGGCCCCGATGGTAAAGTTGAGACCTACAAGGCTCGTCTTGTGGCAAAAGGGTACACTTAGAAAGAAGGAATCGATTATGAGAAAACCTTTTCGCCTGTGGTCAGACTTAAATCCATTAGTATCCTACTAACTCTAGCAGCGTACCATGACTACGAGATTTGGCAAATGGATGTCAAAACTGCGTTCCTAAATGGAGATCTTACTGAAGATATCTATATGCAGTAACCGCAAGGTTTCATAGCTGCAGGTCAGGAACACATGGTATATAAACTCAAACGATCCATATACGGACTTAAGCAAGCTTCTAGGAGTTGGAACATCCGGTTTGACTCCACCGCCAAACAGTTTGACTTTGAACAAAATCCAGATGAGCCTTGTGTTTTATAGGAAGATAGTGGGAGATAAAGTTATGTTATTGGTTCTATATGTAGATGGCATTCTACTCATTGGGAATGATGTAGGAATGTTAACTACGGTGAAAGTGTGGCTTTCACAGCAATTCTCCATAAAAAATCTTGGAGAAGCCTCCTACATATTGGGCCTTTGACTCTATAGAGACAGATCCAAGGGTATATCTACCAAAACTCCAGAAGAGATTGAGGGCATGAAAGAAGTTCCCTATGCCTCAGCCGTAGGGAGCATCATGTATGCCATGCTATGCACTCGTCTTGACATTTCTTAGAGATAGATGGGCAAAATTGGAATGTTACACCTGACCCCTAGACTCGATTATGGTATTGCACTAGGTGTCGGATTGGGCTGTTTTTCATATGCCAATCAGTGAGATCCTTAGAGGGGGTCAAAACATGGGTATGTTGGGACAGTCTGAGAATTCATCTGAGTGAGTGATCATAGTGACAGGATCAAACCCTTTGTCGGACAAAGTGAATGATCGAGGATGCACTCTCTGATGGAAACCTAAACTACCGGCAATTGATTTCAAACGTTGAGATTTTTTTTTGCAAAATGTATTTATATAGAGATATACATATATATATACATATATATATATATATTATAGTTTCAAAATGTTTGCAAAAGGTTTTAATTCCCGGGATCCATGTGAGTAGAGAATGCAGCACTGTTCCTTGCAGCTGAGGGAGATGTCCTCTCTTGTTGGGCAGTGTTTGATCGTCATGGGCTGAGAGTTAAGTGTAAGACCACTAAGAGTAATACCTGATGAGCTAATCTTGCATCTACCCACAGTCCTTGGCTTTTCATAAGGTGATTGTACCCAAGGACCATTTAGTGTAAATGTTGGGCCCATTAAGAGCCCATGGTGATGTACTCAGGGGTTCACTGTCTCCTACAATGAATTCGGCCAGGCCTTGTAACAAAGGTTGGGTTGAACCCCTGCCCAATGCCCATCCATATCTGTTTCAAACATAGTTGTCAAGGCAACGCCTAGGCGACAAGGCACCCTTGGAGGCTCGCCTCGCCTAGTCGCCAAGCAGTTTTGTGCACTAGGTTATAAATACTTTTATATTTTTAATTTTTTGACATTATAATTATAACATAGGCATTATAAAACTAGAATATTCATTTTATGTGTTTATATACTAATTTCTTTTTATTATTTTCTTATTTTGTTAGGATTTAATCAATGCAAACATTGCTAACTGTTGTATTGAACCCATAGTTCAAAGTATCAATACACTTATGTTTATTGACAAAGGTGTATCAATACTTATAACAATACTCCCCCTATTTTTTCTATTTCTTTGATTTTCAATTCCATTTATATATATATATATATATAATTTAAAAAAATGGGTCCCTGAAAACACCTGTAAACAGGTATCGAGATCCCAAAGATACAATACAATACACCGATATGGAGCACATCCTATCGAAATCTTGATCCTTGATTGAACCCTCAAAAATTTTAAAACCTAAACCAATAAGCGAGGGAAGAACTTAAAATTTTGTCTAATCAACCAATTTTCTTCTTCCACATCTTCTTCTTCTTCTTCCACCTTTTCTTTTCTTCTTTCCTATAACAAAAGTAGGGGTTCAGCCCCTATATTTTTTGAATTTTCTTTCCTTTGTTCTTTTTCTTCTCATAAAGTGTTGATTTTCTAGACTTAAACATGAAATTTATACTTCTCTTATGAAAATTATGAATACTTATTAAGGAAAGATGGTTATGGAACCTAGGGAACTACCCTAGGATATACGGTTTTACTTAAAAAAATCCATCACCTAGGCGACTACGCCGACTAGTCGACAAGGCGACCCCCTGTCGCCTAGCCTCGCCTTGGTGCCTTGAAAACTATGGTTTCAATTAGATGCAAATAAGCACAAAACAATCAAATACTATAATTCAGTGTTCGCTGACCTAATTCTACAGATACCCAGGGTTAGAAGGAACACAAATGACTGAGAGGCTGATACTTTTTTTGATAAATAACAAGAAAATTTTATTGAAAAGAAAAGGCTGAGTACAAACTAAAGGCAGGAATTAAGATAGCACCCACCAGACCCAACAACTACCTCAGCTAGCCGCCTACAACAAAGAAGAAAAGGGAGAGAAAACATGGGATTGCGCTAGTGCAGCAAACACTACTCCAGTCAAGCACATACTATGTGCAGATCAGTCCTTTTTTTATAAATATATGCCGAGATCAGTCTTCCACCTCATCAAGCTCGTCTGGACTTCCTCATCCCAAATTTCTCCCCCTAACACTTCGGGAACCTTTCTCATGCTTTCAAGCTTCCTCTTTTTCTCCAAAGCTTCAAAAGCTCTTATAGCAAAGTCCTCTCCTCCTAGAAAGAACAAGCCCAAAGACTTACCAATGCCGATTTCCACCTCTTTGTCAACTAGAGTCTTCAAGTCCACTCCTCTTTTCTCTATTGCCTTATCCCCCACCGTCACTTCAACAGAAACCCCTTTCATATTAGAATTGGTCTGAATTGTTTTTTTTCAGACTCTTTCGACTCCACTATTTGAGAATCCACCAGAGGGGATACCTTTCTATCCCCTTTGGAAGAGAGAGACGACTCCAGACATGGGTTTTTGAGTTCAATTACTTGGTTGAATTAATTTCTCACAAGTTCAATTCAATCAGGAAAACATGAGAATTGGAAGCTTGAAAAATGATGGAGCTTTCCTAGTGAGATCATTCTACAACTCCATGCCTGGATTCCATTGGACTCTTTCCAATGAACAGCCATCTGGAATGTTCACATTCCATCTAAGGTAGCATTTTTCATGTGAACTACAATATACAATACAAGATACAATCCCCATGATTAATGATCCTCTATCCAAGGGTCTCAAGCAGGAATGCAGGACAATGTATGGCACCATTTTTAAGCAAATGTTATATCAGTCCCCTATTTGTTGTTGCATTGTAAATTCAAATATGAAAGATATAGTGCCACTTTATTAAATTGTTCAAAAGATCATAGGTGATCCATGGAACATCCCCATGGCCCTGCAATTGTGACAAGTGAAAGGATACTGTAGAAGAGTCACCATACCATGGAATCTGCTGCTCTTTGCTTCATATTGGTATATATTGCATGAACAAAACAAAAGGAATTTCTTACCAAAAAACCACATCCAGGGAGATTTTAAATTCAGAAAATTAAGAGTGCAATGTTTCCATGGTTTCTCATTTTGAAGGAATTTCAAAACTGTATGATCACTTTAGAGATCATTAAAAGGACGTGCTTTTTAATGATGACATTAAGGCTGCTTGGTCCTTTATATCATAGTTATAGCTTATTGACCATGCACTGCTCTTTAGGGTTTCTCCACTGTTTACTTGAACAAATTTTCACCATTCATCAAAAAAGTCACCACATGCAAATCCCCTACCACCTTGCTTCTCTAGTAGCTCTAATGGAAAAGGATAAGCTAAGACCAAAACATGACCTCAGCAATAGCAGAATCCCCTGTGCCAATAGGTGATGTGGAACCCAATAGCTCTGATGACAATTGATGTAAGAATGTAAGATCACACAAACTGATAACAGATTGATACGGTACTAGCTGCTCTGACACCAATTATATATGACTTGAATGAATCAAGGGTGAGTCTAGGAGGGTTAAGGTGGGGCTAGAAGTAATGTGGAGAATCATTAGGTTAGAAAAGGTATTTGGGATTAATCACAAGAATGGCCAATCTGTTCCAAGACAGAACAAATTTGAAATAGGCAAAACAAGTACATGATAGGAATCTTTCAATAAAATTTCATACAGTTAGAATGGTTACTTATAAAGGGCAACCAAGTTGGGTTAGGTTTGGAGCAGGACTTGTATATAGTGTCTCACTTTACATGATAAACTAAAAGAAGCAACGTAAATAGAAAGCATAAATAGCAAGCATTACATCTAAACAAGAGCATCGAGCATGGTTAAAACATAGGCATCCAGGTTCATGAAAGAACCATTTTTACAAGATGTTTAACAAATACAAGTTTTTTATCAGATCATACAAGTGGATTAACAAATAGAAACCCACATGGGCAGCAACTAGGATCTCAGATCATATTCTCCTATATATGTTTTTCCTTCTAGCATTACTGGTGCTGCACCTGGAAGTTAGAAAAACAGTAAAAATAATTCTAACAAAGAATATGTGCAGTACAGTACCAAATAAAAAATAAGAGGTCCAAGTTTCATTTCACCTGGTAATTCATAAATGTCTCAATCAACTCCACCGTCTGGAAAGATCCTAACAATGTTGACTGATACCTGACAAATTTTGATGATAGAGATAATCAATCACTGCAAAGGCACACGTATAAAAACAAGTATGCAAACGAATGGCAGCCAAAAGACTTAAAATAAAAAGACTTGTTTAACTATTGTTATTAGTTCTTGCTTATACAGAAATAAAAGAGTGGATTAAAGACATAAAATTCTAGCCATACTTTAAATACAAGTTTTCTTTATGCAACAACCTTCTAACATGATAAGAGTCTCCAAGCCCAACTAAATGCACTTGGAAACATAATATGAATAAGCTCGCAACATAATTAACCATGCTATCGGTCAATTACACCAAGGAACATGTTCAAGTGACATAAACAGATAAACTCCAATTATAACCCACAAATAAATAAATGAACAGCATAGTTTTGTGATCATCAGAGTTATATGAGCTTCTATGAAGAACCTAAGTGAAAATCATTCTTGCCATTAATATGATATCAAATTTAGGGACCTACACAGCTACATTAGAGAGGAAAGAACTCAGTTTCCTGCATAATTATGTATGGAAGCGGGTAAAAAAGCTAGTCCAAGAGACACAACTTCATTTAGCCACTTGGAATCTAGGAACATTAACTAGAAGGAGTACAGAATTGATAGACATGGGAGAGGAGAGAAGCATCAGGACCCAATGGGATTCCAATAAAAGTATGAATTATGAAATGGTATGGGAGAGATAGGCTTATTATGGCTAACTAAGCTATTCAATAAGATAATGAAAGAAAAGAAGATGTCTGATGCATACTGATCAAAAAAAGATGTCTGATGATTAGACAAAGACTGCTATGATGCCTATATTTAAAAACAAAGGGGAAATACAAAGTCGTAATAACTCTATCAAGGCATTAAGCTCATGAGCTACACTATGTAGGAGAAAATAATTAAGCAAAGAGTATGACATGAAACAAGTATCAAAGAACCAAGTTGGGTATTTGCCAAGGAGCTCAACCATGGAAGCTAATCTTTCTTTTGAGAAGATTGGTAGAAAAGTTAAGAGAAGAGAGAGAGAGAGAGATCTGTATGGTGTTAATTGATCTAGAATAAGCAGATGATAGATTTATAAGAGTGATAATATGGTAGATCTTGGAAAAAAAAAAGGATTCAAAATAGGTATATAGACAACATCTTAGCCTTGTTTTCAGGTCCCACGGGAATAGGAGACTCTAATAGAGCTGAAATTTTAGCGGCGGTACAAGGTATACAGATTGCAGAACAATTAGGAGTTCAACACCTAGTAGTGTCAAATTGTTGTGGGATGGCTGACAGACCCAGCTTCAGCTATGTGGCAACACAGAGATTTATTGAGGAAAGTCAACTGGCTTACAAGAAAAATGAATGCTACCTCTCTTTGGGTGGGAAGATCAGCAAACACCTTAGCGGATGGGTTAGCTAAGCAGGGGGCCACAAGGGAAAATTTATTTTGGGCTGCTTTGTAATTCTATTTCTGGCTATTTTTGTTTTAATTTGATGTAATAGTTTTGGAATAGGTAACAGCTCATGCCTCTTCTTGGGTTTCCTGTATTGCCTTTTGCTGAATTAATAAATTATCTTTATTCATCAAAAAAAAATATAGATATATAGACCTAAGGATATGTATGATGATGCAACATGACCCTGAACATTATGGCTTAAAGCAGACTGCCTCCTTAAATTAGTTAGAAATCTTGGTAGATTTCTAAATTTATAGAAGAAGTTGATTCAAGCATAAATATGGGAAGTTTATTGAAATGCAAACTAGGGTTGTGGAAGCACAGAAATCTACTAAGATAGTATGGATGAGGAAGCTGGGAGTTCAAATAAGGTGGATCCCATGGGAAGGAAACAGTATGGCAGGCATCTTAGCCAAATAATGAGATAACAAAGCCAATATGTTTTGGGGGATAACCAATGGAATATAGTCAAAAGCATGTGCTGGGCTACCAGGACTTGAGCTGTGCTTGGCATTTGTTGAATTATTTGACTTTCAATTTGAACTAGGTTATATCATCTTAGGCTTCTAGTGTACAAGGGTGGTAAACCCTATTGTTTTATAAACATGTATGGTAGACATGGATTAAAAAGACTAATGTCACTTTTCTATGTATGTTTAGGTTTTTAGTATAATCTTTTTTTTACATTTAGAAAAAGAAACAATCTTACCAATTATCAAAAAAAAAAGAAACAATCTTACAATTTATGATAAGATTCACAATTTGATTCTATTCAGCTTTCTATATATGATTTAAAATAGGATAATGATGTGCAGGACATTATTACAACATGTACAGCTACTTTGACTGTGCATGTGAAAAGGCCAATATTGAACCAAATATCTGTACCCTAATGTTGCATGCCAACCTCAGATGAGTGATTTCTTTTCCTTTATTTTTTTATTGGTATTTCTTTTCCCTTTTTTTTTCTTAAGTCAACATAAGATCCCACAGAACTTAATAGAGATAAGTTGTCTGCTATTCTAATCTAGCAAATGTCCAAGGCTATCAATATGCATAGCAAATTTATCTAACTCCCTAAGAAAGTGAAAAGCTACTACTGACAGTTATCACCAGCTGTCATCAGAAAAGGCTTGTGTTTAACATGATTCACTATAAACCCAAACAGCATGTATATCACTATAGAATTACACTGAAGCACCAATATATTCTTGAGCCTTCAATGACTTTAGAAACTGGTTTTTCAAATATTTTCTTAATCTAAGGATTTTTGTCAAAGAATTTCTGCAAACAAAATATCAATGCACTGAAGGCCACCTAGATTTCTTGCAGTGAATCCCACAATATGTAAAGAACATACCATCCAACAGTATTATTGTCAACATTAACCTCTCTCAAGCACCTCATCATTTCAAGTTGGTAGTTGGCGCCATCTGCTTCAATCTCCTCATCTTCCTCCCGAATCTGAAGTTTTTATATGCACAGACATTTCAGTCAAAAAGGGAAATAAGTGCATTTCAAATCTAATTTTTCTGTAATTGGAACCTATGCAATAGATACTTGCTAATATGACTTAATTTAAAGAGAGAAATTTGACCCACCGGAAAGGGGAAACAGTTGGTTACTTCCAGAACACTACCAACATCTAAACCAAGAAGCTGCCCAGTAACCAATGCGGGAGAAAACTCCTTGCAATGTTTAATTATCTTCAATATGGCCTGTTTTGTGAAAGTTTGAACAAAAATCCAAAACCATGAGGTTACACAATATCTGCTAGAACTAATAGAATATGAAACCAGCAGCACATGGACCAAAATATATCAGAAGTTTAAAACTCTTAATCCCCCTACTAAGACACAATAACATGTAGGCGGATGCTTCAATTTCCCTTTCTAACAAGTGATGATGATGTACAAGTAAATACCAGGGAAGATAACTTTTAAATGTTTACTCATTGGCATATGTAGTTTCTTTGGGCAGTTTCATGCATGTCAGAATGAGATACTCAATTCATTCATTGGCAATATGATCTTCTGTAACATATTCACTGATCTACATAATCCCATGTAGCACTACAAACCAAGGAACAATCCAGGAAGGAAATCCTTCTACATAAAGATCATAATCTAGCGGGAAAAAAACATCTCATAACCATTTAAGACAGCCAGTACCTACTCCACTTCTCCAACTAATCTGATCTAACCTCAGCAATTAGATTGTAACTAGAAGTACTTCAAGAAAACTAAAACACTGTGGAGACACCCCATCCCCAATCCAATTTTGATGCAGCAATTGAGATCAAAAAGTAGTAAATCCAATCTAGAATACTGACTTGATTCCTAACTATTAGCTACTTTTTCTAAACAATATTAGGAATCTTTCCAACTGGATCACAATAAGAAGAATGGAGCTTAAGCACTCAAACATGGGTGAAATTAACTTTTTTTTTAAGTAAAAAAAAAAAAACTTTTATTAAAGAAAATAAAAACTTGGTACAACCTTCGTCGGTGTCAAGAAGGTCCCATTCACCAAAAACAACTCACCCACACAAAAAACAAAACAGACACAACCTGAGCAACAACAGGAACCCCACATGAAATCATCCAATTCGCCAGAAAATTTGCCCAAACAGATCCCCAACTAGGATAGTTATTCTTCATCAACATAAAAATATCCCTCTCCTCCCCTTCCCCGTTCCAAATTCATCCCCTCATCCCTTTTAAAGATTTAGAAAAGCAATATTTATTAAGGGGATTAAGTAAGCATAGTAAATACAAAGGCATACTCAAAGAAAATCTGCAAGTGGTGAGAATTTAGACGATCACAGTGACAGCTAAAAGAAAAACCCAAAAGCGGGAGAGAAAGCAAAATACTGAAGAAAAAAAGAAGGAAAAAAGAGGGAGCCAGATATGAGAACAGAATACCAGTCCCTCGATTTGAACTACTCTTAGCGGCGAAGCGACTTCCTCTGAAGCCGCAACTTGGAGGAACGACCGAGCCATGGCTACACAAAACAAGGAAATATCTCCTCAATAAGTGTTACCAGGCAAGAATAGATTTTGCAACAAAGATCTAAACGAAGAGGAAAATAGAGGTAAGTATACGGACGGTTTGCCATTTCCAGCCTCTTCTGGTGCGGAGAAAAGTTCCAAGTTTCAGAGGAACGTAGTGAAGCTCTTGCTCTTGTTCTAGGGCTCCGCCTGTCCGAGACTCTCTCCGCTGAGGAACCCAACGGCGATAAATCGGATCGGACCTAATTCGTAGAGAGACTCCTAACCCCTTTCCTATTCGTGTTGTTTCTTTTGGCATTGCTAGGTCTGTAATCGGATCGGATTCGAATCGGATTCATTTAAATCCGAATTCGATTCGATAAGATATTTGCGAGACCAAATCAGCCCCTCGCAAAATTCCTCCCACAACGTCCCACAGCACATCCCCGCCGTGTATTAAGAATATCTCCCGATGATATCCTAAAAATCATCATCGGGACCGATCGTGAGGGCACGCCACGCGTTCTAGAAAGGTGTACACACTTGAAACGTGCGAAGTGATTAAATGCTCTTCATTCCACTCCTCTCTTGCCTCACTCTCTCTCCACCTAACCTTTTCACTCTCACTCTCTCCCTCTCCAACTGGCGGTGACTAACAGCCATCATCGGTGACTATTAACACCGGTGACCGGAGAAAAACTTCTGACGATCATTAGTAAGACATTTGGCGAGAACCTCTCTCTATCACTCTTAAGACGTTGTTTGGCGACTATTAACACTAAACCAAATCCGCTTATTCTTCTTGTAGTTGTTCCTTTGTTTCTCAATCTTCAGTGATCAACACCCATTTTTATTCGATTATGTTGAATTTGGTTAAGTAAGTTGAAGCATAAACAATATCAAAGGTTCGTTTGAAAACGAACAATGAGTGAGAAAGATCAGTTGCTCTAGTCAGAGAAAGGGAAGAAATGGATGAAGAGGATAGGCCCCCCAACAAGCAAGGTCAAGTTTAATCACTTTGGCTACAATTGTGATCAATGTTGGATGATTGTTTCCTTCTAATTTCATTTTCTAAAAGAGCTCTATTGCTTGAATTGGGGAATGGAGACCTTCCCCGAATATAACTAGTGATCATTGCAGTCCAAGAGATGGAGTTTCTCTGCAGCATTCTATCAAAGACCCAACGAGCAGATTCCAAGTCATTGCATTTGACAAACCCATGAACCAAGCTTGCCCACGAAGCAATTTGACTCCCATCTCCTTAAATATCAATTGAACTATTTTAATTTCTCCATTCTTGGTATACATGAGAAAAAAACTATGTGGAATTTGTTGATCTTCATTATACAAGGTACACCCTATATATATAATTTCCTACGCCTGAATTTAGGAGGTTCAGTTTCAGTAGGAAATTGCTAATTACAAGTTTTACTAACTGCAAGTTCCCCAAGAAATCTGGGAACCTACTATCCAAATACATCTAGGAAACGTGGGGTTTAGGTTTCCCAATACTCTCCCTCAAATTGGCGCATGCAGATTCCGAATGCCCAATTTGCTAATAAAATATGTGAATTTCTCTTTTCCCAGAGCCTTCGTCAAGATATCAGCCAACTGCTCTGTGGTTCGAACATGGCAAGTGACAATGTTCCCACGCGTATCTCATCGCGAACAAAGTGACAGTCGACCTCAATATGCTTTGTCCGCTCGTGGAACACTGGATTCGCGGCTATGTGCAAAGCTACCTAATTGTCATAGTACAATCGCGCTGGTTCATCATGCGCCACCCCAAAAGACGGAAGAAGTTTCTTCATCCACTTCAGCTCACAACTTGTCGCAGCCATCGAACGATATTCGGCTTCTGCAGAGGAGCGTGACACGGTATGTTGTTTTCTCGTTTTCCAAGAAACCGGCGATTGCCCCAGCAGAACAAAGTAGTCAGTCAACGACCGTCGTGTCAGTGGGCAGTTTGCCCAATCAGAGTCGCAATAAGCATATAGACGAAGATCGCTATTAGAACGGAACAATATACATTGTCCCAGATATCCTTTCATATAACGCACTACACGTAGAGCTGCCTCCCAATGTTCTTGTCGTGGGCTTTGCATGAACTGAGATAGGATATGAACACAATAACACAGCTCAGGACGTGTAATGGTCAAGTAGATCAACCGTCCCACTAATCGTCGATACTGATTCGGATTTTCCATAAGAACACCATTTGCCAGTGCAAGATGATGATTCTGTTCAATGGGTACGGATGTTGGTTTGGCTCCCAAGAGTCCACATTCCGAGATGATGTCTAGGGCATACTTCCGTTGAGACAAAAAGATTCCCTCAGGGCCACGAGCTACTTCAATCCCTAGGAAATATTTGAGTGGACACAGATCTTTCATATGGAAGCATCGATGGAGATACTTTTTGAATTTTACAATGGCAGTAGTATCATTTCCCCCAACAATCAAGTCATCAATATATATCAGCACGTGCAAACGAATATTATGTTTGCAATAGGTGAACAGAGAGTAGTCAGGATACGGCTGGACAACCCCGAACTGTATCAAGGCCGTTGTTAATTTCGAGAACCAACATCAGGGAGCTTGAAGTAGTCCATAGAGAGATTTCTTCAGTTTGCACACCTTTGTTCGATCCTTAGATGCAAATCCTAGCGGCAACTGTATGTATACTTCCTCATTCAAATCCCCATGTAAGAAAGCATTATGTACATCCATCTGATGCAACTCCCACTTCCTAGCGGCTGACACGGGTAAGAAAGCTTGATGTCTAGCAGAGAAGTTAGTACATGTCACATAATTCGCTATGGGATAGGGAGTCGTACCTGAGGACTATGATTTAGAGTTGGCTTGAGTATGAATGGGGTCTTTCAAACATCGAGCAGTGTAGGTCACGTAGGGTTTCAACAAAACAAACGGCGTGCGATGCCGATGTCCCCTACCAAGTTGCTCTTCTGGTGCCGTTTGTGGTGCTGGATCCACATTAATTTTGTCCTCACTACCATTAATTCCCACTTCCTTCTCACTCTCTTCTTCTACGTGCTTCTCCTATCTTCCATCACCATTATTCTCAAGGCTCCCCCTATCACAGGTGTCGGCTGCATCACTCCCCCTGTCTTTATTCCCTCTGTGGTTGTGTACAACATCATCATCAACAGCGGCATCAACTTGTGCAATGGCTGGGCCAGGTTTGTTTCCCAGATTGGCTTCTGAACCAGTGACATATGGAAATATATTTTCATGGAAGACTACATCACGAGAGACAAAATATTCACCTCTTTCAACATCATATACATGCCAACCTTTCTTTCCGTAGGGATAACCCACAAAAACACACTTCCTACTCCTTTCTCCAAACTTATCATTGTCTCGAGGACTCCAATGAGCATAGCAGAGACAGCCAAATACTCTCATGTGCTCGTATTGAGGTGGCGTCCCGAACATATACAGACAAAATATTCACCTCTTTCAACATCATATACATGCCAACSTTTCTTTCCRTAGGGATAACCCACAAAAACACACTTCCTACTCCTTTCTCCAAACTTATCATTGTCTCGAGGACTCCAATGAGCATAGCAGAGACAGCCAAATACTCTCATGTGCTCATATTGAGGTGGCGTCCCGAACAATACCTCATACGGAGTCTTCCTGCCAAGTACATAAGAAGGTGTCCTGTTTATCAAGTATCCAGCGGTTAAGGCACACTCCCCCCAAAAACGAATAGGTAAACCTGCTTGAAACCTCAATGCTCTGGCAACATTCAAAATATGCCTATGTTTTCTTTCCACTCGACCATTTTGTTGGGGTGTTCCAACACAGGAGGTCTGATGCAGAATGCCATGAGTCTCAAAGTATGACTTCAGACCTTTAAACTCTATTCCATTATCACTTCGAACAACTCTGACTTGCTTGCTAAATTGGCATTCTGCCATGGCACAAAAATTTTTAACAATATGTACTACTTCACTTTTTTCAAGCAGTAGTAAACCCACACAACACGAGAGTAATCATCAACAATGGTTAGACAGTAAACGACACCACATGAGGCCGGTACTTTATAAGCACCCCATGTATCACAATGAATTAGAGAGAAACAATCATCGGCTTTATGTTTACTTTCAGAAAAAACTTCCCTAGTTTGTTTTGCTCTGTAACAAACATCACATGGCTTATCTCTTTCTGGTCTAGTGTTGAATTTACCTACTTTAGGAAGTGAAGATAATATCTATTCAGACAGATGTCCCAATCTACGATGCCACAACTCCCATTCACTCATTCTACTTGTTCTATTCGCCTAAACCGGTGCTGCTCCTCTAAAATGATAGACCCCATCACACTGCTCACTCGCTCCAATCAGAGTCCTCAAGGTTTGGTCCTGTATCACGCACAACTTGTCAGTAAAAGTGACAGTACAATTTATCTCTTGCAATAATTTAGCTACAGAAATAAGGGTGCAGTTCATTCTTGGTACAAAGAGCACATGATGTAAATAAATATTTCCASCCAAATGCACARTCCCTTYCTTTACTGCAGTAGTTTGCTTCCCATTGGGAAGTTCCACCGGACACGGTGTAATATTCCGAACATCAATCAATAAATTAATTTCTCCAGTCATATGGTGCGACGCCCCGAAATCAATTATCCAATCAGTAGAATTTTTCTTACCGGAAAGTCTTTTCAGATTTATGTGAATTCAGAATATTGAGAAGTGTTGTTCATTGGTCTCCACTCAGCCCCGAAAACCCGCTACGGTCATGATCATTTGTGATTCCAACCTTCCGTCCTCCAGTCTCACTTCCCGCTGCTTAGGCAGCGTTTGCTCTTGCCTTGTTTCGTCGTCCTCGTCCGTCAATCATGGTGAAAAGTTTGTCAATATGCCTTCTGGTTTGCTGGTCAACGAGCAACGGTCACCTTCAGGTAGTGTGTTTGGTGTGCTCTACAGGCGGTAATCAGAGATTACGACAATCGCGCAAATCCTCCCAATTTCTGGGGTTCGCCGTACTCTGGATGAGGTTTGCGAAAGAAGTGCGACCACGGTACCTTGCAGAAGAATCCAAGAAACCCAAGGGCCTACGCAGCAGGATTAGATTCCGGAGGATATATCGATCGACTGACAGAATACAACAGGAACCATCAACCGGCCCGAACTAGTTTTCAGTTCATGAAAACCAAATCAAACACTCCGCTTCATGCTTCAGCATAGGATCTGTCAATCTCAATCATACTCCGTCGCACTGTGGAAACCAACGGTTTGGAAGGCAGGGTCGAAGAAGTCCTCCCGAAAACAGAGGAGAGAGAACAGTCTGTGTCGAAGATGACGAAACTCTCTCTGGATTTCGTAGAATGTGAACCCAAACTTTGGTCATTGTCTCAAAGATGGGGACGATGAATTAGTAGCTTTGTCGCCACTCTTTTCCGCTCAGAAGTTTCACTGCCGTTGCTCTGGTTCAGATGAAAAAGAGTCCAGTCTTCACCGCCGCTGGTTCCACTCGAACAGGGAGAGAAGAGGAACAGTAGCTTCGCCGCCACTCCTTTCCGCTCAGAAGTTTCGCTGCCGCTGCTATGGTTCAGACGGGAAAGAGTCCAGTCTTCGCCTCTGTAGCTGAAACTGAAGAGGTGAAGGCAGAGCCGTTTGTTGAAGAAAGATCGGAGAAGGCTGAAGAAGAATAAAACCGAAGAGCTCTGCTTGAGTGCAGAGTTCTTATCTGATCTGCGAACGTCTCAGTTCAAAACTCGAATCCGCTGGTCACAGCCTTCGATCCCTGTTTCTCTAGGGTCTGGAACAGATGAATAGAGAAACCGAAGAGCTCTGCGTGAGTGTAGAGTTCTTGTCTGATCCGCAAACGTCTCAACTCGGAACTCGAACCCACTAGTCGCAGCCTTCGATCTCTGTTTCTCTAGGGTCTGGAATAGACGAACAACGGAACCGAAGAGCTCTGCTTGAGTGCAGAGTTCTTGTCTGATCCGCGAACGTCTCAGCTCGGAACTCGAATCCGCCGGTCGCAGCCTTCGATCTCTGTTTCTCTGGGGTCTGGAACAGACGAGTAGTGGAAATGTGGTAACTGTTCAAGCTGGAATTCCGAAGTTGAATTCGTAGTGAAGAATGAGGACGACGAAGAGTCTTCTTCTTCTTTCTATTTCCGATGGAGGTGATGAGTCTGGATTTTGGTTTCTGGGAGCGCCGTAGTGACAACTGCGGAAGACGAAGAGCAGTCTGTACTCTACCTGCGAGCGAAGTACCGAACTAGAGACCGGAGTGCACAGTTTGTACTATGCCGGCGCCGAGCTACGTCGCAACCGCCACTGATTTCCAGGTCTTAGAACAAAGACCTCTTGCTCCTGTTTCTGGCTCTGATACCATGAGAAAAAACTATGTGGAATTTGTTGATCTTCATTATACAAGGTACACCCTATATATATATAATTTCCTACGCCTGAATTTAGGAGATTCAGTTTCAGTAGGAAATTGTTAATTACAAGTTTTACTAACTGCAAGTTCCCCAAGAAATCTAGGAAACTACTATCCAAATACATCTAGGAAACGTGGGGATTAGGTTTCCCAATAATACATATCGATCAAAGCATTATCAACTATTGGATCAAAACTCAATCAACTATTGGCTATGTAGCTTTCTGAAGTGCAAAGAAAGTAAGAGAAAACAGAGTAAAAGGCTTGCCATAGGAACGTCGGTCGCTGAAGTTTATAATCGCCAATGATGGTTATTAGTCGCCAGAGGGAGAGAATGAGAGTAGAAAGGTTCGGTGTGGAGTGAGAATGAGAGGAGTATAGCAAAAGAGGAGACGGAATGAGGACTTCACACGTTTCAAGTGTGCACTGGAAACGTGGCATGCCCTCATGCTGTGTGAACGGTGTGTGCACCAAATTTGCCCTGATAGAAGTTGGACTCGTTAAATGAGCACTTGATAAATATTTTGACAACTATCAAAAGTGGGTATTAATCCTTTTCAAGGTTAGGCTGGGGGTATTTTAAGAGACGAGTGTAAAAAAATTTCTAAATACTCATTTAACGTGCTTGCAACGTCATGCCTACCTGATCCGAACTAGTATAGAGCATCCGATTAGACTTTTTGGATTTCGGATTAAAGGCCACCATAAAGCAGTTTTTTTCAAAAACCTTAAATTTTTATTCCAAAGTTTTGAAATAAAACAATTGTTTAACTAAAACAAAAGTAATTATTTAGAACAAATGAAAGAATAAAAAAGAATAGGAGACCGATCTGCAATCTGTAAATAGAACCTTAAATCTATAAATTTGTAAACAGATTATCAAACAAAATAATATTCAAAATAAAAAATAAGGATTAATGAACTTGTCGTTTTCGTTTAGTTGAGAGAATGAGAAGGTTCAACAGTGGTACCTTGCTTCACTCTAGTGGTTTGTCGTTTGTTTGGGAGAACCAAATTCACTTGTCGTTTTTGTTTTGTTTCAATTTGAGAAAACTCACTCTTTTAAGGCCTTGTTTGGTTTGAAGAAAAAGTAGGGAAAGGAAGGAAAATGTAGGAAACTTATATAAGGTTTGTAAAGATTTTCTTACCTTTTCCCTACCTTTTCCTTCAAACCAAACATAGCTTAATTGAATTAGTCTACTGTTTTTGTAGCTCAAATATTATGTTAGGACTTGTAGTTGCAGAGAGGGGAATGGGGGAAGAAAAATACTTATAGTTTTAGAGAGGGGAATGGCAAGAATGAAAAAAAATGAAAGTATAAAAAAGGTTGAGTTGTAGACTTTATGCAGAGAGTGAGAGAGGAGAGAACACGAGAATGAAGAAAATGTCGATTCAAGTATTGTGTTAGGGCTTAGGGTTGGTCGGCTGGGGTTCAAGGAACATATTTCCTCATTTAACCTAAGAGATTTTATTTATTACACTAATGTATAAAAAATAATATATATATATATATATATATATATATATATATCGGATTCAGATTTTTCTAATCGAGTTCTATTTCTATCATTCAAATTCAATCTGATATGACATCTACCACATCCAAATCTGAGATTATCGGATATCGGATCGGGCAATAGATTTGTGGGTATCGTGACACACCTAACTATGACTTTGTTATTAGGGGGTTTTACCGATGTCTTCAACGCAAAACTCGATTTTACATTGAGCCTTGTACAGTCGTCGAAATATCGGTTTTTACTAGTTTATAAATATGTTTTTATTTCCAGCTCCACCTCAGGTACACGTCTCTTAGTTATGGATGAAAAATGCCCCTTTGTATTATCGAGACCTTAGAAAATTGAACTCGGTGACCGTTGGTTCTTCCCTCTTCTCTCCATGCTCTCTCTTGTTTAACAAATTTGAGGTTTCCAAAGAAGGATGATGATTGTTTTGTTTTGTGGTGGAGTGAACGGAAAACAATAGCCAGCAAGGGTGTAGTTCTTCCCACCTCCTCTCTACGCTCTCTCCTGTCCAACAGATTTGTGGTTTTCAAAGAAGGCTTATTTCGATGATTGTTTTGTTCTACTGCAGAGTGAATGGTAGAGTGTTTATTCTATGGTAGAGGCAGCAATAAAAATCCTTGATGAGCCTGGGGCTTCTTTCAGTCTCGACAAGTGTTTATTCTATGGAAGAGATAGTGATAAAAATTGTTGTTTTGCAATTTCTGATATTGATTTTGTCATGTCTGAATTGCTTGAGAAAGAATTCAGGCAACATTAATTCAGTTTGGCCGAACTGTTATTGATTCTTGGAAGTTCTATAGTGCTTGAGAAAGACTCTAGAAATTCAGATCTGCTAATCAAGAACCGAATTGAGTGCAAGGTTAGAGATAAATTGCACAATTCGGTTGGTGTTCATTCAAGCTGAATGATGCCCTAGAATGCCTAGATCTTAATGCATGCATGGGGATTAGATTTTTGCTAGAAATATAAAAACCATCACTCATGCATAGAGTGAACATGCGCTTGAGAGAGGCTGTTCATTGCCTTGGGGTTTCACCAAACCAAGGCTGAATCCTAATTTAATCAAAGTGTCTTCTTGTGTAAAACATACCCAGGCACTCTAACCTATCTTTCTTTACAACATCTCTTAGCTTGGACTTCCAACTCAGCATCACAGCTCGGCATTGCCAGGACTAGACTCAGTTCGAGCCACCTCATCAAACACGAGGGAGTGAGCGAGTCCTTGAGGAATACAAAAGTATCCATTGTTTCGCCCACTATGGATTAAGTGAAAGAAGTAATGGGTTCGATTGGTGTTGTTGCTGAGGAAATTGGGAAAAAAGCGGTTAGTGTTGTATGTGAGAATTTCAGGCGAGAAGCAATTAACTCCGTCAATGCTGTTCCTATTGGTGACGGTGAGTATTCCGGGCGAGAAGCAACAAGTACTTCAAATGGTGCTGTTAGTGAGGATTTTGGGCGAGAAGCAAGTACTTGGGTTGCTGCTGGTGGTAGTTGCAACAACCTAAATCAACTGGTCCAGTTGATACAAGGAAAATGAGCTCTTCTAGTTATCAGGTTGTGCTGGTTTGGAGGAAATCAGGTTGCAAGGGCACCGGAACTCACCCTTGTAAATCTTCTTGTACATGGCCATGATGTTTTGATCATGGAAGGGAAGATAACCAGCAATTAAAACAAACAAAATCACTCTGTAGGATCAGATATCCATTTCCTAGGTAGGAATGGCAACGGGGCAGGTTTAGGGCGGGGCACCCCCTCCCCATCCCTGCCCCAAAGTCACAATACCTTGCCCCGTACCCATCCCATCCCCGGTGGCGGGGCGGGTTCAGGGTGGGGCATCCATTCCCCATCGAGGATGGGGAATCCCCGAATTTTCCCTGTTCCAAGGAAATTACTTAAAAATTATCTATTTTATGGACAACTTATACATAGGATATAGGAATTTGGGGGTATTTTAGAATTGAATTATATTACTTTAGGGTAATTCAAAAATAAAATTATGGAATCTTAGGATTTTAAAAATTTAGAGAAAACTTAGAGATATTTTAAATATCAATATTAAACCTAGAGATATTTTACTAATTTACCTTCGAGTTCGGGGCGGGTTTGAAGAATTATATACAAAACCTGTCCCCGCCCTGTCCTTGTTTAGGGTTGGGGAAAACCCTCCCTGTTCGAGGTGGGGCGGGGCGGGGCCCCGGTTTTATGGGGGAATTTGCCATCCCTATTCCTAGGTTAAATAGGTTTTAAAAGAAAAAGGGGCAAGAAAAAGAGAATAGAAAAAATTTAGTGGGGCATTTTGGTAATTTAATGCTTTTCGTCGTTTGACTTAACGGTCAAGGGAGTCTTTGTCTAATGGCTAAAGTTCAAGGGGGTTTTGTCGCAAAAAAAGTACAGGGGGGACTTTATCCCTGACCCTATAGTACGGGGGTCTTTGTAATTTACCCTTTATTGAATATATAATATTTTCTTAATTTTCTTATAATTTTTATTATGTTTTATGTTTGACATGATAATTTCGATAGGTAATATTAATTAAAATTATTTAGTTTATTAATATATAAGTAATGTAATACTTTTCTATCAATTTTATTATGGTTGTATTATCAAAATTTAAATTCAAATTATTATTTAATAAAAAAATACAGTTTTCAATATAACCGTGGGGACTATTAACCGGGACGGTTCTGGTTCAAATTAGACCCGATCCGACCAGTGACAGGCCTAAATGATTAAGATTAACTATCTTCACAAAGAGCTTTTGTCGGTGTCGAGGACTCGAGGCGTTAGTAACCGCCATATAAAAGCAGCCGTTGTTAGTTGTGAGTGTCCAAATAGATGAAGAAAAATACTGAGAATTGGACTCCTACTCCAACTCCATCTCCAATATTTTAGCCTTTTAGGTCGGCCGGCTTTCTTATTTCTTACTTGTTGTTTCAATCACAATCTCTGTATCTGTTACTTTGTTAGTTAAGTCGGTTAAGAATTCCATTCCAGGAGCCGTTTCTACTAATAATCCTACTCACTCCAACTCCAACTCCAACATTTTAGCCTTCCTTTTCGGTTGGCCGGCTGTCTTATTTCTTATTCTCGTCGTTTCAATCACAGTCTCTGTATCTGTTACTCGGTTAATTAAGTCGGTTAACAGTGTTACTTTCCAGCACACGATCCAAGTAGGATTCTTGTTTTATAAATAGTAAATATTCCCTGCCTCTCACTCTGTTAGTTGACCGGTTTTCTTATTTCTTATTATTGCCGTCTGTTACTCTGTTAGTTAAGTCGGTTAAGAATTCCATTCCAGCAGCCGTTTCTACTAATAATCCTACTCCAACTCCAACATTTTAGCCTTCCTTTTCGGTTGGCCGGCTGTCTTATTTCCTATTCTTGTCGTTTCAATCACAATCTTATCTGTTGCTCGGTTAATTAAGTCGGTTAACAGAGTTCCATTCCAGCACACGTTACTACTCTAAGGAGGATTCTTGTTTTATAAATAGTAAATAGAATCTGCCTCTCACTCTCATTCGCATACACACAGCATCATCAACACTACACTTGGTCCGATTCAACACCGAGAAATCATTASGGTAAGTCTCTTCTCCCTTCCTTTGTTTCTCTTTCTTATTCATTTTCTGTTCCGTTACACTGATTTCTCTTCTCTTCTGTTTATCTGCAGTGCGTGCGTCTGCAACAAACAAAATGGATATGGTGTTAGTTATTCTTTCCTTCCTTTCAATCTTTTCCTTCACTGTTTCCTTCGGTCAATTAGATGATTACGAGTGGCCTGGACCTGAATATTCCGTTGTGGGAGATCCTGGTATGAGAAATTCTAACCTTAGATTGGCCATAGACTCATGGAACTACTGTAACAAGGTTGGATMTGAAGCTCCTAAGATGGGGAGCCCGGCTGCAGCTGATTGCTTTGATGTCCATCCTAAGACATTCTCTGTTCATCATAGAGTCACAGAAGCCGATAACAGATTAAGTGTTGGAAACCCTTTTCCTAGTTCATTCAGGGGACAAGATTTGTCTCATCTTAATGACCCAGATTTGTATGCTGTTCAGAAGGAACTGTATCTTGGTTCCAAGTGTGAGGTACATGGGAACGACCTGAGGTTTATTTCTGACTATTATCAGTTTTGGATGATTACTCTTAGAAATGGTAACCTAGACACACATGCTGGATTGTGCCCCAGTAAAGGAAGGAAGGTTGGTCCCTTTGAACATTCAGAAGGTGGACTCTCATGTTTTGGAAAGGGGTGTATGAATCAGCCACTTATGTTCCATAACTATACCAGCTTGCAAACTGTTGGAAAGGAGAATTTTCTTAGAGGGAGTTTCTTTGGCACCTATGACTTGGATGTTGATTTTGGTAAAGGAGTAACACGTAACATTTCCTACTACTCTGTGTCATGGGAAAAG